AGATATTTTTAAGTAAAAATGACTAAATGTCTCTTTATGTGAGCTGTGGAAACTGTTTATTAAGCAGGAATCAGAAGAAACTGTCTGTTTTTACTCCAATGTTTGCTACCAAGCCTCAGTGCTGATAAGATGACAAACATTGTTAAAAGTTTCCCGTTTCCCTCGTTTTTTCCCAGCATGCAAGCGGAAGGAGCAGGACAACGGCAAGGATCGCAACAACACACCAAAGAAGTCGCGGCTGGTCTTCACCGACCTGCAGCGGCGCACCCTGCTGGCCATCTTCAAGGAGAACAAGCGGCCGTCCAAAGAGATGCAGCTCACCATCTCTCAGCAGCTGGGCCTCGAACTCACCACAGTCAGCAACTTCTTCATGAACGCCCGCCGCCGCAGCCTGGACAAATGGACGGACGACGGCGCCAGCCCCGGAGCACAGTCCTCGGCGTCCAGCACTTGTACCAAAGCATGATGGGGGAGGGGGGGAAACCGCAGGGGGGGGGGGGGGGGGGGTGCGAGATGGAAAAGCAAAGTTTTTCCAGGATTTTCCTTTTTCTTTCCCTGAGGGTTCAGAGAGAGGGGCTGCTCACTGCCACGACTTCCAGCCAAACCGCCTTCTGCAAATTTAACCTAAACGCATAGAAAACGCTGGAGGCTAAACTCATTAAAAACATACAAAACCTCACGTCGGAGGGGGGGCACCCCCCTTCAACTGCTGATGTCTCCTTTAGGCTGAAACACGAGCCCAGAAACCAAAGACTAGAAGACAAAGAGTGTTTTCTAATATGCAATATAAGCTAAGAAAGGAAACCGAACCGAACCGAAGCGTCATGACTGCAGAATGGGTCGTTTTCCGGCGGTTCTAGTCCAGGTTCAAAGACGTATCACGAGTCGGGGGTGTAGAAACGGATCGGTCCGAACCGAGCAATAGACCGTTCGGTCACCGAATGGATCTTTACTTCCACCAAACCAAAACCAAAGAAACCGCCGCCGCTCCCAGCGTTCAGAGACCCGCCGGCGCCGAACCTTCTGGTGGCCAAAATATGCAAGCACAACGACCCGGCCCGCAGTCCAGCTTCATGGCTAACAGAACCTAACGCGTACGTGAGCACAATCCCGAAGCACATTCTTTTCTTTGCAATAGAACCGGAGCAGACGGCCGACCCGAGTGGGCTTCGCATCTTAGAAAACTCAGGATGCCATTTTTTTTCTAAACAGTGGCCGAAGTCCATTCGGTACCGACCCGACATGTAGCCAGGGCCTCCAAAGCGTCCAAACCGAGACGCTTTCCGGACAAACTTTCTGTTAAATATCGGCTGATTCCGATCGACCCTCCGTAAAGGTCCGGAATCGGTGTTTCCTGCTGATATAACCGATCCGATACCAGCTGGACCCAGCGGAGGACTGACTCCCCAGGCGGATCAGGGCCTTTGTAATAGTTAAAGAGGACAATCTAAAGACGATGCCTGGCGGCTCCGTCCTTCCTGAGGGTCAGCGGGACGGAAGAAGATTAAAAACAAATAAATCACCTTTAGCCATAAATTCAGATACATTATCGCAGATTTAACGACGTTTATGGCCGGTCGGAACGTCTGTCGATCTAACGACCTGAGCAGCCACCGCCCCCCAGCTCCGCTTCAGACGTTCATCCATCCAACTTCACCTCAATCATCTTTCACTCGAAGCTATGAAACCAAAAAAAAACGAAAGTAAACCAAAGCAAAGGCGTCAGTCAGCAGCCCCTGCTCCTTTAGAGAAATCCGGGCCGGAGATTCGGCCTGACCCGAGGGCCGGAGAGTCGGCCTGATCAGAGGCAGCCAAAGGCTTTAAGGACATTTAAAAAAAATGGACACTTGTGACTTTTTCTATTTATTGACAAATCGAAACCAAAGAAAACCTTTTTTCTGCACCTAACTGTTCAAACAAATGGAAAAAAAACTTGGATGAGAAATATTACCAAAAAAAACACCAAAAAAAAACAAAAAAAAAAAAAAAAACAGAGTGGCAGCGATGTCAAGGGAAGGAAGGAGAAGATGGAGGAAAGTTCGACGGAAGGACGACATCACTGGAAGAGCAGAAGTAGCTTTGCTGTGTCTGATGTTGCATCAGGCTAATGTTTGGACTGAAAAGGGTAAAACCACACGAGGGGGGGAGGGAGGGGGGGAGAACCGGCAGCTGTTCTTCCGTCCGACCCGAACAAAATGGCCGAACATTAATGTGTCTCTCACGGTTAAGGAGCGTCTTTAACGTGTGCCTATGCAGTTTTTCAAAGTAAAATAAAAAAACAAAAAACGGTTTAAAGAACAACAGAAACCTCATCAGCTAACAAACCAAAGATCCACCGTTACCCCCGGCAGCAGTGACCCCCCCCCACCCCGAGGTCCGCCTACAAATACAGGAAACCCGTTAACTTTATTTCAATCATTCTTCAGTAAAGCACTTTGTATTAACTTTTCTTTATTGGCCCCAATGTGGCCGCCAACGTTTTGGTGCCCCCCTCTGTCCAAACTCAGATACAGAAGGAAAATAACTTTACTGCGAAAAAATAAACTATTATAAACATAAACTTCCCCCTTTTAAATTTTTATTATTAAAGTCCAAATGTTTATTTTACTCTATAGCAGAAATTTAGCATCAATATTTCTTTTATTATCTCTTAAACTTGGTCATTTTATTCCGTTTATTTTAACCACGCTCCCTTGTAATTACATTACCCCACCCTAGAGGGCGCACCAACCTCTTTGTGTCAGAGTTTAATGAATCAGGATTAATCTTTTTTTATTTCTTTATAGCGTATTAATGCTCGGCTGACATTTTAGCGGACTGACAAAGCGGCGTCTTCAGGAGCGGCAGTGGCGGTGCTATCTGAACCGTACGGCGCGTACCAAAGATTTTTTGCTGTACGACCAGTAGCACGCCGTCACTCCTTCTGACAAAGCTTTCAGTCTAGTTAAAACTGTTCTATAGAGCGATTTTTAGCTCAAACCCTAAAGAAAGCAGCCTGAACCCGAACGAGTCGGATCCAAACACATGATTTACCAAACATCCCGTAAAGATGGAAATTCATAAATAAAAAATAAATGACTGGAAACATGAAGCTAAGTGGTTCAAACAAACGTGGTTTGGTCATAAATTAAAGAAAAAGCTGCTTTCTTTAGTTGAGAAGTTACGAAAATCAAAAACACAGAATATTGGTAAACCTGGACGGGTTCTCACGGCCTAGCAAAGTCAGAGACGTTTAAATTACATGTTAGCATGCAAGGTAAGGGGGGCGGGGCCACGCTGCTGATCCATTCACGCAACAATAAACCAAACAAAACCAAAAAAATAACCAAATCTCCAACTGCTGAGAGAAACTGCTGAAATCTCGGTCAAATAGCTTTATCCTTAAGTTTCTGTCTGTGTTTTGTTTTTATTTTTGTACGTAAAGCTTCTAGTCCAAAGAAATCCCGCCTGATGGCGCCGCGCTGCTGTCCCCGCCCGCTGGAGGGGCACGGATCAGATTCGGCGGCGGCCATTTTTTCACGTCATTCTCATTTGCAGTTGTGTCTCGATGTCGTAACGACTTAATCTGCCGAGCATAAAATGAAAGGAAGAAAGAGGTGGAGGTTTTCTCTGCTCCTTGCTTTGGTTACATTTACTGCCATTACGGTTCTTCCCATGTTTTTGCAATATGTAATTTTTTTTTTCTTATCTAATGTAATTTATGTTTTCTTTTTAACTGTGAAGTAATTTAAACGAACAAATTTTGTTGCCAAATCTCCCTGGGTGACGATTAGCTTTGCCAAAGTTTACACTCTACGTTCCTTTTCTTTCTCTTCGAGGCCATATTTATTTATGATGCGTTTTAGAACGCTCTAGTTTTTTACAGGATAATTTAATGCTATTTAATTAGATGTAATTTTTTTTCTTTTCTGACGAATATTTATGAGTATTTAAGAATGTTAGTTGCATCAAAGATGCAGTGCTTATTCCAGCCTGTTAATTTATTGGTAGGTAGCTTTGCTTTATGAAGCCGATGAGACGTCGTGTTCTGAATGTGTAGCGCTAACGACAGAAACCATTTAGGAATGTCACATTAGGTTTGCGTACTTCTGAATGTCAACACTTTTAGGCCGTTTAGTTCCGGTTCTGATTGATTTTTTTGTTTTTGTTTTTTGTGGATAATGTTAAACCGAAACTGTTGCTGAGCTACTGAACAATGAGCACTGCATCTGCTTTTGTTTTTGTTCGCCTGCGTCCTGCTGACCAATGAGGTACGAGCAATGATTTTACTGACTGATGTTAGCGTTCAGGCAACGCAAACAATATGCTGGTATAAACTAGCCCACCAAAGATGAACATGAGAGGCCAATAAACAGTGTTTACCTCCACACAGCCACACCCCCACTGGTTAAGCTCTTATTCGCTCTAATGAGGATTTATATTACTATCTATCATTGCAAAACATGAAAGATTATATCTATCTTGGCAAAGACTATTAAAGATGCTGTAAAGCAGAGAGATTTAATTATTTTATTTGGGATAACTGCTCTCTCAAATTAAACTCAGCAGCTGTTAAAACAGAAAATATCTTATTTCCAAACTATTTCTACCTTTAAAATTATCTTTATCATACAGGTTCAACTGGCAAACTGCTCTCCTTCTAGCCTGTTTGCCTGCCAGTCGCTGCTAACGCTAACGCTAGCATACCTTTACTCTCCTTTATAGAGGAAGAACCTCAGTGTTCCTTCTGAGCCGCTGTAGGAACCAGATCTGCTTCCTGTCAGTGACGTTACGCTACATGATGTAAAGCATCGTGGTTGCCCAGACAACGATAACATCATCATACAGCGTCGGTTGGTCCGAGTCGGGAGCATCTGTAGCGTTAGCGTGTCTAATGATCGATTAAGTTTTACCCGATCGATAACAAAACTGAAATAAATCTGTTCCTGGTGAACAAAGTAGCTGTTAGACCGTGAATAAAGGGGTAGCACTGTGGCTAGCTGTAGCTAACAGGTTAGCCTCTTTAAGCTCAGTCAGTTAGCCATATTAAGCTACAATACTTTTAAATTCATGTCAACAACAACCGTTCATTTTCTACAAGTAGAATAACTTATTTGTCTAAAATCTTTATTTTAGACAAATTATTTTCTCTATTTGTCCTCCTCTGACATCAGATCTTAAAGTCGTAGAGAAGTCTTATTTAAATGTCAAAACATTCGGACTTAAACAATATTATATATATATAACTAAATAAACTCTTTATCAGACCATATTGTCCCAAAATCCCCAAGCAGATCTGGTCCCCACACCGCTTTGCTTCCATATAGAGGAGGTTGTGAAACTTTTAGCCACTAGGGGCGCTATTTTAACTTAAACGCCCCCCGGAGGCTTCTGGCAGTAACACATTTGTTAAGTTATTTGTAGCTTTGGCCTTTAGCTCATTATGAGATGTAAGAATCAACCAACCTGGTTGCTTTGATGTTCCCG